ATATTGAAATTTAATGCAATGTAAACAGATATAAGTATGTTTTCAAAAAGATTGTGATATCAAGAAAGTCAGAGCTATAAAATGTTAGATGAGCGAGCGAAGACGCTCTCTTCTTCTTTCTGAAAAAAAATCCTGCTTCTTAACACCAAATGTAAACTCGTGTTTCTTTGAAAGTTACCACTGGTAATTTCGAGCTGTGCGATCCGAAACGGAAATTGCTGTGTCGTGAAACAGCCGCGCTTAAGCTGCAACCATCGGGCTAATGTGGCAGATATCTCCCGTAGCGAAATTAAGGCAAATCGTGTGCGGGCCCTCATGGCCGTACGACACTGTTCCACCGGGAAAATCGATATGCAAATCTACGCGCAAATCCTAGTAATCTTGCTCACCCGTCCTGCAGCCCGTTGCAACGGCTCAACGGGGGCGGATGGCATACACCCGTTGACACCGTCGCCCCTTTCGCACCTCTTATCCACCCAATTTCTTTCTCTCCACTTTCTTTCTTTCTTTCTCTCCCTCTCTCGGTCTGCATAGTTTCTCTCTATCATTCTGTCTGCGATGCTCATTTCAGCAGCGAGAACACGTTCTTTCCCTCTCGGCGTACTCTCGTTGCTCGTTGCGCAGCAGGATTGCGACAGAGGGGGGCTGACGGGGGTAGATGGGTGAGAGGTTATAAAACGGGGTTAGCCCGGGTCTGAAGGATCGTGTTCGTCGGCCACCTTCGACGACAGGGCTTTATCGAGGTGAAAAAGGTTGCTCGACATCGACCTCCCGCCGCCATGAAGTGAGCAACCATCCCGCAAGCCTGCCTACAGCACCACCCTCTTGCTTTTTCCCTCTTGCGCCCCGTCGCCGAGTCGTTTTCGCGGATGTCTTCGCGTTTTTTTCCGCGCAGCTAGATGGGGAAAACGATCCAAGTGCTCTCACGCGACGACGAATTATTATCGCGTGGTTTACTATCGTACTTTTTATATGTGATCTTCTCGTAATTTTCAGCCGGATATTGATGTCAATAAAATTTTTTATATCGCTCGCCTCCAATGGATAACGCTAACATCAAACAAGTATGTCGTTTTGTATTATTTTCGATATAATATCTCTCGATGGATCCGTCTTATTGATAAAATCTTAATTCATTTTTAAGCTATATATTTTTTTGAATTTTTATTAAAATTAAATTTTGTGCATTCGTAATTATGGAACAGACCAATTAATGAACTTGATGATTATATTTTAATTTATTTTTAGAGATCAAAATAAAATCTCTTCGTTATTCATTATCATAATATATTATATATCTACGTTGATTTAATTCTAATTCTGTTGCAGAGTATTTAATTCTTAAAATATATAGGTTTATTTCATGCTATAAAGTTGATCGCAAAATAAGAAAAAAATTTTGATTAGAGCCGTATTCCGTCTGGACGAAACGTTTTGTTTTCTGCGCGGTTTATTTATGTGAGACGGGAGAAAAGAAAATGTACGTCTCTACTAGTAGCTTGTATTTGTGGGAGGTCAGCGCGAAAGGAAGGAAGACAATCAATCTTGATCCCAATTATCGCGTCGCTCAGCGACTGTAATTGAGTCGGTTTCGAGCCTCCAACCGCCTCCATCCACGACGTTTCTTTTGTAATGACGGAAGACTGAAACAATGAAGGCATAGAGTTTCCCCGTTGCGCTCGTGCGAGTCGACTGGAAGCATTTTTTGGCTTTACCACATCTGCTCGTTTTGCACCGATGAGTTATTAAGAGACGAATCGCTGAAGATTATTTATTGTCTTTGTATCGATTAAATTTTTTTTCATCTTCTAATCTCTCTCTCTTTTCAATATACTTCATATTAAATAAATAAAACTTTTGCATAATATATGCAGTAATTAAATTGACATATAACAATAATGAATTTGTTTA